TTATAGCATTTAGCAAATCATACATACATATACATATCTGTCACGCCTGTCTCCCATTAGGGTAGGCAGAAAAATAGCAAATCATTATTCGATTTATTTATTTAAAGAAGTATACTCATTTACTCTTGCTACCTGGCGAGATATTAAGTTTCCTTTTCAAATAGGTACTCGTGTGAGTATACTTTATTCCCTGTAAACAAATTCCGAATACAGAAATATAATATTTTCTGTTTTTTATATCCTGTTATAATTCTCAATATTTACAATGAAAGCTCTCTTCATACACATCCTTCTTTTTCAACAATAACAATATCATTACTAGAATAGAAAAATAATAATAGATACTCTATATATATTTTTTTATTTTATAGGCATCGTCAATATTAGATATAGACGTTGTCTATTAAATTAGCTGTTTTCCACGGCTTTGCCTACATTAATCAATATATGAAGTACACTATGTATTAGAATATAACCTAATCCGCCTTTTGTATTACAGTACACTTATTGAAAATTGTTCTACAAATCCTGTAATGTTGGTGCAATAAAGTGTTAAATAAATAAATAAAATAAAAATTATTCAAAAATTTTCAGTCGTTTTAGCGTAATTGAGAAACAAAGATGCAAATATCTAAACATCTTTATAAACTTTCACATTCACATAATATCAATTAATAGAATTATGTTATCCTATGTAGTTAATATTCCTAGAAGATATATCTATCTTGTTTCTAGGAATATATGTAATTAATATTCCTAGATACAAGATATTATCATTATCATTAGCACTTAATTATCTACTGCTGAACATAATCATCTCCTTAGAGGGGTTTTGCCAGTAGTTGCCATACTTGACAGGCGGATGTGCAACCACAGTAAGCTTTGGAGGTTCTTGAAGAGGGACGCTGCTGCTCACTCCTCACCTTCCCTTAGTCACTTTTATGACATCCACGGGAATGGAAGGGGTGGCCTATTCTATGCCGGGACCACACGGGAATACAAGTATAAGATAGGATAATTATTAATCTAAAAATGGAATTTTACGATCAATTTGTAAATTACAAAAGGATTAAAGGAAAATACATGTAATAAAATATCTAAACAATTCCTTAACATCGCAATTTACTTTCGTAAAATATATATTTACTAGTAACTTACCACGTAGGTACATACAATGTATCATGCAGGGATTCTGTTATTACGTTACTATTAAATACCAACTTCAAATACCTTCAAGAATATTATATTGAAGATGATTTCTATGGGTATATTTCGTCAGTTGAGTAAAGGTTGTTTAATCAATGGATAGTAAGTGATGAAGGGTTTCATCATCCAACTCACAAGTTAACCGAATGCCGATAACGTGTGTAAAATCATAGTGGCGTAATTTAATTGTATTTTTACAATACAGATGTATCTACTTATATTGTGTTTTCATGGTCCTTTATAATTATACATACATCTGTTTTTATTTGCGGACTCGTCCACATGACCGGAATAAAAATTAACAGGGATAAAAAGTAGCTTATGTCCTTCTTCATCCTAAAGAGTTCGTGTAGATGTATCTAATTAGATGACAATTGGTTGAGCTAATAATACGCCAAGAGGTAACAAATAAACAAACTTTTTTTGACATTTATAGTGTTAGCATAACATCTATACAGTAAGGATTATTTAGCATTTAGTTTGTAACAATATTATTGTTACTGGTAATTTTTATATAGTTACTAAAGGATTTTATTTTTTACAACGCTTAGTGCTTGACAATTTTTAATTAAAAAAGTAAAAAAAAAGTCATAAAAAATTGGCATATGGAAAGAAATATGCTAATTTTATTTAATTAACCTTGATAATATGAAAATATTATACATAGCAAGATCATTCGACAATAATTAATAGATCGATATTTTATTAGGTAATACTAATACTTAAATACCTAATTGAAATTAATAAGTTCAACACAACGGTTAATTATATATGTATCACTTAATGTAGGTACTTAGGTATATAGATATAGCTCGTATAATAAATCTGATACAATAAAATTGTAATATGACCTGAGTTTTGCAACACAACCTTCATCCGAATAATTTTGCCTTTCAATATTACAAACCAATAACTTATTTCATCCGACATTAATAATAAAGTAATATCCTCTTTGAAACAATCTCTATGTAAACTTAATTCGTACCTTTACTTTTGTTCGTATGTCTAGAACGCATATAAATATAAACTGTACCTACGTACTTATTAAGTATTTTCTATCTAACGAGACAACATTTTACCAGAGGGAGTCTTTGTACAAAAGTCGATTGCTTGGTTATCTCTCTCCCATTCGTGTTTCAACCGTGAAGCAGCTGTGTTTGCATGGCTGTGTTTCGGTTTGAAGGTTGGGATATGGCGTGAATTTACTGGGTACAGAGGAATAACACCTGAGTCCTCAGGAATGGCAACGCATGGGGGATATCATGGGCGGAACAGTATACTCTGTTATGTCCATGGTACTGCTCATGTCTAAGGCGACAGTTACCACTTTCCATCAGGTGGGCCATCAGCTTGTTTGCCATTCTAAGTTGTATAAAAAAAAAACGAGATATTTAAGTAGTATTTCAGAAAATATTCAGAAGTCTATCGAATCCTTCTGATAATTGAATTTGTTTATCTAATAACAAAGAAATATTTCTGCAGTACGTGTAACCCGTGATGTTGCCCACATTTCACATTAAATATTCAAACATTTTTGCAGTAACTGTATGCTTATCACCATCATCCTTCTGTCCCTATCCAATTATTTTGGGTCGGCGTAATATATTTTTATTCACTGACCTCAACCCTCTTTCGGAATACATTTGATGGTGGTATTCGTCATCCACACTATAGTGGATTGAGGGAAAATGAGGGAGTGTGTAAAGGGAGTTGGTAACAATAGGTATTCTTAACAATGTTATAATTGTGAAATTGAGTTTGTTTGTTTCCTCTTGTTGCTTGTAAGGCTCAACCAATCGTGATGAAACATTTAAGATAAAGTAGGATATAAAAACTATCAAGAAACTAAAAACCAGTACTATCAATATTTATTTGTTTAAGTGTACTTCTTGACTTTTCATATTAAACTTAATAAAACTTGTGCAACTCCATTAATATCTATAACTATTCCATGTAGTTCCTTTTAGAGACTCACCACAGATAACACAACATCCATAAACATTATTACATTAATAAATTCTAGAGTTTTTAAGCTAGAACAAATTTTGAACTGTTTCTCAAAACCATAGAGGTATAACCAATTAGAAAATTACAGTATATAACCTATAGATAAATACGTACATATTTATGCATCTACCTACTTGATCATGAACAAGACTACGTTCCAAAGATACCACTTTGTATTGCAAGGATAATAAGCTCATACCGACATCTGCAATCTAAATAGGCGATTACATGCGTGCATAATTATGTTGAATATTTTGTTCGCCGCTGTTTGTGGTTGATCATCGACAAACAATCGCACATCCGTCTGTCTGTCACCGCGCAAGGTCTTAGCCGGCATTAATTGTCCTCCGTGCGAACTAACACTTACAATCGCAATCACAGCTCATTACTAATATTTGTGCAATTGTGTGTAATTATTACCCATACAGATAGCAAAAAGCTCGGAGCGTCGTTTGTACATTATGTGTTTATGTACTTACAACACATAAGAACCTTTGATGTACGCTTACACAATACGCATTACAAGTCCTATTGTTTTATTCAAGTTGTACAAATATATAATTCTTGGGTATTGATGATTTATAACTTTTTACACTTTTATTTTTATATACTTAATATAGTATACCTATCATGTAAATAAAGCTACGATAAATTATCAAGATTTTTTCACACTATAATGTAAAAAATAACATCCCTTGTACAATTTGGCTGTAGTACACCAAGACAACTATCTTTATTATCTCTTTATCGTTTTGTAAATAAGAAGAGGAACGTGGTGGGCTAGACAGTGATTTAATTAGTTTTGTTTTTCATACATTACGATTAAAATATAACTTCTATGAAGTAGGGAACCATCGTTAACAAATTAAGTGGCTCATTGTTACGATATGTTTATAGATAATAAACAAAATAATAGGCATATTTTCAATGTGTAAAAAGATAAAATTAGCTATTATTGTACCAAACTAAGGGTAGTCGAATACCAAAAGTTCATCCGGCAGAGAATCCCTGACCTAGTTGGCATCTCGTGACCGACGCATCTGCTTGCCTCCACGCCTGTCGCCACAAAACCGCCGCTGTCGCGACATCGTCTGCCAAAACCAACCTAGGTATATAAAGTAAGCGCATAAACAAGTCTTAGCTAACATCAAATAAATATAAACCCGTAATAGAAGCCACTTGCTGAGCAGATATGGAAAATAAAGACAATTATCTATTATTTACTTGAACAATTTCATATTAATAAACAGTACGTTCATATGTAGGTCGTTCTATACCGTTGACCATTACAATTATGTATGATTATTAAAACTACAAACACTTCTAGGATGACTTCGTACAAACACGAGGACGACTTGTTACTTTAACGTATGTATTTAGTTTCATTGAATCGATTTAAAGTGTTATCATATATACTACCTTTATTTAATATCTCATAGGTATATTATTTCATGTTTCCTATTAAAAACAGCTCATGTCTAACTGTTATGTAACTCATTGCACCATTGCGACGTTATCCTTATAACAATTTAGCATGATTATTACGTTCTGTCGAAGGAATCTTCAATGTCACGACCGTGGCTGAATAGTTCAGTGGGTGCATGACCCGCGTACGAGGGTCGTTACTTGAACGGCATGTAAATTATCTGCCGCTACTACCTATTTATATATTCATAGTACACATGTTACTTGAGAACAGCTATTAATGGATTCTTTGTTTTAGATTAACAACGATGTCAATAGGTCTAGGCTATTTCAAATTTCAACCTTTGAATTTGTTGTTGCAGGACCAAAACAGTTCTTCTACAGAGGCCACCATTACTTCTACAGCGGGCATGTACCTGGACTCGCCAATAGAAAAGTGGATTGGTTGGACGGCCGAAATATTTGCCGCGAGTACTGTATGGATCTCGTCTCAATGGAAACTCAAGAGGAGAACAATCTGATCTTCAAACTTATACAACAAAGTAAGTCTATTAAAATAAATAATAAAGCAAGTTCATATAAAAATAAATTTTTAGATGTCGTAATTTAAATGTACTCTCGATTTTTATTATCAAGTGTGTCCCAAGGTAATGATGAGTGGTTGTAAACCTTCAACTTTGATTTCATGGCCTTATTATAATAGAAAATTTAGAATATAGATACTATATAGACACAGACAATTCGACATGAAATGTAATAAGTATTCATTTAATATCATAGGTATCTAGGTATATGACTAGTGAGTTAAGATATCGAGATAACCGCTTCTTGCTAATTTAAATAGATACCCAATCTATTACAGGCTCAAATTTCTAAATATATAATAGTAAAATATGCAACATGGAATATTGTTTCTCTTTGCAGACGATGTACCCTACATCTGGACCTCTGGTCGTCTTTGCGATTTCAAAGGCTGCGAGTCGCGAAAGGACCTCGAGCCCAAGAATATATTCGGATGGTTTTGGTCTGCCAACCGAGAAAAGTTAGCGCCCACTAACCAGGTAAATAAGATCTAGATATATCCTAAGTCGTTAGCCGTGTGGTCTTAACATGGAATGGGCCATTCCTTCCTCTCTCTTATCTTCACTCGTGAGTGTCGTAAGAGGCGACTCAGAGAATTTAATGGTCGGAGTATAAACAGCAGCGTCCCTCTAAAAACATCACCAAACCTTAACTGTTTTTGGCAACCCGCCTGCCAAATGTGGCAACTATTGGCAAAACCCTCCTTATAGGAAGATCTATGTTCAGCAGTGGACAGTTAACAATTGATATGATGATCACTTAAATATTAAATTGCACACATTTTCTCGCGAATATTGAGTGACGATGATACTTAATGACGTCATGTAATATATCCATTAGGTACTCATTTGTAGTTTAGTTTCGCTTTTTCGCTTAAAAAACGTGTAAATGAATTATGCATTCCTAAATTCTCTGAATATGACATACAACATACAATAGACTTCAGCATTAGGATATTGACAATCTTACAAACATATTTGTTTCGATTTCCAGATCCCCAAGGGCTGGGGCTATAACCCGTGGTCTCAGACCGGCCACAAGAAGCAGCGCCAGCCTGACAATGCTGAATTCGACATTAACGGCACGACAGAGTCCTGCCTGAGCGTACTTAACAACGTGTACAACGACGGAATTGCGTGGCATGACGTGGCCTGCTACCACGAGAAACCCATCGTCTGTGAAGACTCCGAGGAACTCCTCAATTATGTAGCGGCCAACAACCCAGGACTACGTCTGTGATTTACTAACTAATACTTAAGTATTTATACGATACTCAAAACATCTCAGTGACAATTAAAACCTAATATATCTAGTTAGTACCGCGCGAGCGTATCACATATCTGTCCGATACACACAGAGTGAATATACCTACGTGATTTTGGGTTATTCGCAATGACCAAAGACGTGGGAATGACTTCGATCCATTGTAAATGACGTTTGTACTAATCAATTATCTATTCTATATGAAATTGTTATTTTAATTTTGTTTACTCAGTAAACCATCCGTTCTTCTATATTTAATATTATTAGAGTGAGATAAAAAGAAAAAAACATTTGTTCTATGTTTATCTTGAAGTGAGTGACTGCATTTTGCAAACTATCTAATTAAATAATTCTAACTTAGAACATTCAATACGGAAAATGTGATTAAAGCGCGCATTACTTTCTGTCAAAGTAAAGGCACTTACTAATTCCATTAAGTAATCACAACTCCACTCATGTACCTATTAGATAAATAATAGAGGTTTGTCTATGTCTACAAATAAGAAAAAAATTGCATATTCTATTAAATGTATATGATCACTAAAGACCAATCATATTTTTTCTACCAAATACATCTTTCAAATAAATTTTAGCCCTTTACACAAAATGTCAGAACGTTTTAAATAATAATAATACGTGTTGAATGCTCTGTCGTCTAAATTATAAAATTAGCTAATTTAAAAATAATAAATCGTATACAGATTACAAATTGCACGTACTGTATTTATTCGAGCACAATAAACTTGCCATATCCATTATATTGGATCTCCACTGTCCGCACTGCCCGTTTTTCATCGTACATAATTGTACAGAATAGTAATTTAAGATTTAAGTTAATTACCTAAGGAAACTTTTATTTGTATATAAAATAAAAATTTAATATAAACATTAAACGATTTTTATTTTATTAATACAATTTGATATTTAACAACGATGTGTACACAATACGTATGGTTTATTATATTTATTTCTACGAAAGAGCCTTAATGTTCGAGTAAGTATGGATAGAGGTAGTATAATTTCAAATATTAGTTAGTCAAAATATATTTGAGACACTATAATAACTACAAATAATAACAAAAAAAAATTCTTCTAAATATAAAATCAAACATCGCAACTATGAAATAATTAAAACGTAAACAAAATTAATAAAACTTTATAAATAAAAGGAACTATGATAGTGCTTAATAAGCATACAAGCATTCACTACAAGCCAACAACTGCTACTTACTTTTCATTATTATTTAACAATAACAATAGCTAAATAAATATTTAACTACTTTCAAAAGGTAAACTCAGTCTCCTTTGTAATCACTTTGACCTATGAAATATATCATATGAAACAGTCCTCATTACCTGTAAGGTATATAGTACAATCAGTACCAAAACTCGATTAGTACATTCAGATTCCCAGAGTTTATATCAATTGCGTCAGAATTAGATGAAACAAATTTGCAAATACATAGAAGATTTTTAATGAATGCATATTAGAATAATTCTTTCCTTATATAAGATGCCTTTATAGGTTTTACATTATTTTAACTCTTTTTGTAATATATTTTGTTCGCCATAAAAAATGAAGGTGTATTTTTTTTTAAACATTTATATTTATATTTACAATACATTATAGGTAGTATTTTAACAATAAGAAAACTAGATTCACTTACAATAATATGTATTTAACATATTAAAAAAAATAATAATAATAAAATACCATTATAGTGAAACAAAATTTTCATCAAGTTACCGAAACGTGTCAGCTAATTACATAACAAATATAATATAACCATGGACGTCTGTCTTCGCGAGGTTAGATAAAGAATGAAACGCAGTTATTGTTAAAGTTATTGTGTCACTAATTTATGGGTTAAACAAATTAATAATCGAAAAATTGTATTTTAAGTAAATAAGTATGTTCTAACAACGATATTATATTATAAAAAAAAATACGCACTGTTTTAAATCATAAACTAGAGGTATATGTGCAATGACTTATACAGATATGGAACTATTTAAATACAGGGGTTTTTAAAGCCTGAATATGTTACGTGTTTAATGCTAACTGAAACTATTAAAGGGACGGGGTGGTGTGGGGGGGGGGGGGGTCGTTAGTATTGCGGACTATCGGTCCCATTGCTAGCAATATACCCTGTCAGTCTGGAAACCTTCGTGTTGAATTCCGTGACGAATTCCACTAGAACCACGACAGTTTCCAGGGGGAACCGCGTGAAGGTCGACCTGATAGACTAGCAATGGGTCAATAAGACCCCATTACTAACAATCCCTTTCCCTCCGCACAAGCGGAGTTACCAGTCCATTATCATCCATTAAAAAAACTGAACCAATTAAGAGTTACACCGTTAAATCAAATGCTGGTTCCTCCAATACTTTCCCAATTTTTCTTTAATTTAAAACTTCTAAAAGCATCTCATGAGCTTTTTAAGCATTCGTTTATTACTCATTTTTTAGCAAATTATTTTGTACATTGCTTTTGTCCTTTAGTCTAAATCCACCTTTAAATTGGTCTTCTAACAAAAAGCAATCAAACAACTTTCATAAAACTAGATTCTTCAAAAATATGATCAACTTATTACTAAACTGAATACTATTTGCGTACAAAATACGTATAAATATCTAACAAATAAAAATTAAAATCCTCTAAAATCAACAATTTTCATATAACTAGACATTTCAGTTACAAGATTAATTTTAATTTATCACTAGAAATATTATGCATAGACATATAATCCTTTTAGATGTATTAGGTAACATTTAGATGTGTTATGTTGTCCAGTTCAAAGTTGTTCTCGTATTGCAACTGTAACACTGTGTATTTTCTCATTTTAATTAGCTATTTTTTTTTTATCTTTGTCAATTCACAATTTCTATATAGATATTCAAAGGTCAACTGGAAGTAATCCCATATATGGGATAAGTCCGCCATTGTACTCATTCTTTTCTCAAGAACTCTGTATCCTACAATTTAAGACTTTACTGTACAATAAAGTGTAACAAACAAACTAAATCGTATACATATTACATGTATACAAGATACATGTAAATATTTAACAATCAATTTAAAATTTTCAAAATTTACAACCAAAAAAAACCTTTTAACTTAAAACTAAATTGTATACTGCTTGCATAAAAGATACATGTAAGGACCTAACAGGTCATTTATTAAATTGTCTGTAAGGTCCTTTTAGTTCTTAAAAAATTATTTTCCATAGAACTAGATAGTTTTATTGTAAAATCAACTTTATCTTAACACTAAATTGTATCTTACTGGTATAAAAGATATATTTAAGTTTATAACAGGTAGTTTATAATTCTCAAAAATGAACTACATTTTATAGAACAAGGTACTCTTATTAAAATATTATCTTCATCTGTAAACCCATTATAATCAAATTCTCAACTGTAATAGCCACAATAGTGTAATTAATATTTAATACCAATTTTCAAAAACAAATTAGGCAGAATGTAATACTACCAGAACCCAGTAGTTAAGACTACTGAAACAATTAGGTGTTTTATCACCCCGTTAGTCTAAAAATTAGTGGTTATTAAAAATGTACTAAGTAAACATTTACAAGGTAAGGTAATATAAGGTATGTAGTAAATTTAGAAATTACAGTCTTGAATTTGGTGCTCTAACTACAGAAGTAATTAAGCCTTACAATATAAAGATACAAAAATTAGTGGTTATCAAAAATGTACTAAATTAAAATTTACTAGGTAAGTTAATATAAATTACCTAGTAAAATTAGAAGTTTAGTCGCCTGGATCCTACACCTCTACCAACAGATTTTTTATCATAATCCTTATACCGTTCGCAAATAATTAAATCTTTAATTTTATTTAACAGAATATTCAGAACATTGTATTCTTGACCAGAAATAGTAATATACATATTAGAATATTTTTCAATTTCGTCAGGTGTCAATTTGTACTTTTCTTTTTTATTTATGTCGAACCCCACAATAGTGCTGCCATCTTCCTGTTGCGACTCGCACTCCAAAGATATTTCAAGTGGCACAGCTTTAGCACAGATAGTGTTATACTCGAGAAGAGTTGTTGTCAAATTTATTGTTGCTAAATTTAGAATATCTGGCTTCAGAAGACAAGCACGATGTTGTCGTCGGCTGATATAGTAATTTGATAAATCTAAAATACATAAGAGGTACATTACCTATATTATTAGAAACCTTAAATAAATAACATATTAATAAATTAACTGGCTTTGTAAATTCAAAAATTTTATACATATAACTTAGCTATACATCTAATTAAGGACATATATATTATAATGTTCTAAGTAACATAATTTATTACTTTCAATGTAAACTTCTTTATTTTTTTCCAAAAAAACTGGCCACAATTCTAATTCTTCGATTATATTAAATATTCGTCTTTCTTTTGTTTCAATATATAAATCTCCAAGCACCTATAAGAATAAAAAAAAATTATCATCACTATCACTACATAGTATAAAACAAAGTCGCTTCACATTTGTCTTTCAACTATGTATACTTAGATCTTTAAAACTACACAACAGATTTTGATGCAGTTTTTTTAATAGATAGAGTCATTCAAGAAGAAGATTTATATGTATAATACATGCATAATATAGTAGAGAAACACTGATAATTTTAGAGAGATTTCTAATGTGATGTGATGTGATGTGCACCCATGCGAAGCAAGGTTGGATCGCTAGTAATTAATATATATTAGGTCATATACAATATAATTTACTGTAAGTTGTCTGTTTTCTACTTACAATATCATTATGATGGGTAGATAATAAAGCAAGTGGTGCAAAATAAATATTTAAAGCATTTTCTATTAATGATTGTGCTTTTGTTATTGCACCTGCATTCCATGAAATTGTAATCTCATTCATTATTTGGCAGTCTTCACTTAGCACCTAAATAATAAGACAACTATATAAATACATGCTTCTTTATATATAAGAAAGCTAAGAAAACCATCACCCATGAGTCATTTATTGACTTGTAATATAGTAGTATAAAATGTAGTATTTTTTAACAGAATTCTTAAATATAATTCCCAATAGTTTTAGTTTTCTATATAAATATTTTCTTTAAAACATAATACTAAAGGAAATTTTGTAACTATTTTCTAGGAGTTCGTCCAATGCATAATTTTTTTTACATAACTGAATAACAGATGGGACATAGATAAAGTTAAATAGAATTAAATATTCTATGTAAAATTTATTAAAATTTATTAAAATATTAAGCAGTTAAAAACACTGTACTGAAATGCCTAAATGGTAATGGATTTAATGATACTGATACATTAACAAGCTCTAAGCAATATTCAAATTTATATGATCAATTCTATTGCAAATTGTTTGCAAGTTCTTTTTTTTTTAATAAAAAAAAAACATAAATAGCTTAAAATAGATATTGGTGCTTTAATCTATTGAGCTAACTAATCAAATACCATAGATACAAACACACACATCATAATGTCAACAAATATCAATGCTACTATCTTAATTTTAATATTATTTTAAATACACATTTCATTGTATTTTATATATTGTATTGTATATCACTATAAAACTGTTATATATCATATAGCAGTGTTTTGAATAATTATTTTCATTACACCTTCTATAGCAATAAAAAATTGTTACTAAAAGTTTTATAAGTACATAATTGTATTTTAATTATAAAAATAATGAGCCTACACTTGCCTTATGACTAGGGAATCTGTATGGTCCAGAGTCTAGTTTAATATTCATAACAAAAATAGACATTAATTCAATTATTTTTGCTATTAAAATATAAATTTATGTATAAATATATAACAGCTATGTTATGATTTTGTTTTTGTTTATTTTTACCTTGTCCAAAGGAACTACACCATGTATGCTTGCTTCAAAGACTTTTGTGGGCAACTTTTTATACTCCATAGGCAAATTAATGTAAACAGTCTTTTCATTAGGCCTTAAATATATACCATAATCAATGAGCCAAATTAAAAAGTGTGATTTCAAAGACACTATCCCTCTCACCCATTTATCCTTCCACATTACTGCAACATACTTTAAACAAGGAAACAAAGCATTTAATAATATGAAGTGATATATTAACTGTTACTTAAGTACAGACTGATGACCTAAAAAAGATTAAGTAACACGATTAAAGGATTAGGTAGTATATTTTTGTAGTTAATAATGTTTGTAAATTTGGGTTTACATAATTTTTAAATTTACTATTAATGCAATACCAAATAACAGTGGATGAAGTCTATGTATATGTTCAAGTTTAGTTATTAATACAAATATTTTTTCTTACTTACCTGTCCATGGCTGGCGTCTACCACTTGAGATTTATTAATAAGTGCATTTCCTGTAACTTTATATTGAAGTGAAGTAATATTTTTACTATCATTTTCAGCTAAGCAAAAAAATGAAAAAGGATTGTTAAATGTTGTTATAATAATATTCATTTTAGCTGGTTATTATCTGATACATGCAAGTGACGAAAACTGCAATAAATGCAGTTTATAAAATTTACACTGCCAATTTGATTCAAATCGTATATGTAGAAATTACAAACTGTCATTATAGTCTTGGCTATGTGCAGGTTTACAACACTTAATAAAAAAAATTCGTATGCAACTATGCAATTCATTGCATTTGAAACTTTACGCTATAAAGTAGTTAGGCTAGGTGTTTTATTATAGGTACCTATCTCAATAAAAATATACAGATATATATCATATATATCACAGAGATCTGTTTTAAAAATATAGTGATATATTATAAATAATCATACAACACTGGGACTAAATACTCAATTATTTTATTGTGTTGATTTTGGTACTTCTTGACGGTTGCATAGTTTAATTTTTCTAATTTCGTCAATATAAGGACAATACCGTCTCTTCTTTTAACGTGTCATATTTTATTTTCGATTCGTGTGTAGGTATTTTGCGTGCACCAGAAAAATGTTACAAATACAGAATTCTGCATACATTAGAACAAAATTCAATAAAGAACCACTATTAACTATTTATTATTAAAAATAAAAAAAAGCGCACTGCACATTGAAATTTTACCTATTTAACCGCAGAAAGCTATTGTAACAGACTGTAATTTCTGAGTAGAATTTAGGACTAGAGGCTGAATTAACTCCATGCTGACTCAACCTAATAAAAATGGCTAAATTCATCTTTCAAAAGCAGTTGATAACACTCCATCCGCACCCGACTATCTAAACTAGGTACCTACTAATACTTACCTTAACATTACAGATAATTGGAAAATTTCTATAATCCATACCTATACCTTTGTAGCATTAAAATAGATTTCTTTTAATAATTATTTCACCAAATAGTTAAAATCAGATGCACAGAACTGGCTAACACATGTACTACTATTGATCTAGTTTTCTGGGTAAACTTTCGCATCAGTGGATGCTATCCATACTTATAAAATTATATTTTATTTATTCTAAAAAATTATAAAATACTAGCTGCCCTTAGATTATATAGATAAAGTGTTTCCATAGAAATGCTTCAAGAAAAACGGGTCAACTTTTTCATACAATTTTGCGTGATAAATAATTATAAGTGGTGCCTTTATAACTTCTAATTTATTTTGTTTTATAATTTCTGCATCTTTTTAATGCGTAAACACTCATTTTATTTATTAAATAATACGTCAAGATTCATTTTATGCGTAAGTATATAGAACACTAATGAAAAAAAAAACGAGTCAGCTAATTTGATAATTAGCTGACAATTTGTTGACCAGTTTTTGAGGCTTGATGTTCTATTTATATAATTTAAGTAACTGCCCTAGCAAACGTTGTTTAGTCTCATGCATTGCATTGTTATTACATTCTTTAATAATAAATACATTTTACATTTTTTACTTTATTAAACTGCTGCATTACATAGTTTATGGGATGAAATTGAACTGGTAACCTTACCTACCCTATAGGTATATTCTGGCGGAGTACGAGTAAGTGATGATAGGTGGGAATATTTCAGTTTAATAGTAGGTTGCTTATAACTCAAATTTTTTAAAATTCTCGATTATAATAGATTGAAAATGACAGTTTTTCAGAAATGTTTAAGATTTTGACCACTATATATGTATTTATTTATTTACGAGGGCTACACTGAAAATTTTTAAAACTAAAAAGTTTTAAAAATTAAAGAAATTGTTAAAATTTTGAAAATGGAACTCTTTACTACTTTATCTTTACTATTATAATTTATTCGTTTGTCATTTGTTTTACGGTTTGGCGGCAAATTGAAAATAGTCTGTGTAACGTTAGCATGAACTTAACATGAGAAAATTTTCGTGTGATGATTTTTTATGACTTTCGATGTCACCTAAGTCAACAAGAAAGTTATGATAGACTATGATTGGCTTTTCACGATGAAGCCCCATCTCGTGCCACTGTTCACAACTGGTTTAATGAGTTTAAACGTGGTCGCACTAATCTCACCGATAATGTGCGTGAGGGACGGTCTTCTACGGCGACGACTGAAGATAACATCAGTGTTGTGCGGCGTATGATAGAGACTGACAAAAGAGTGACCTATTAGCAGATCCAGGCAAGCTTAGGGATTGGTATGAGTCAAGTGCACAAAATCCTCCATGAACATTTGGCGGTCAGGAAGCTTTGTGCCCGGTGGATACCTTATAATTTGACCGAGGCTCAAAAACTCCGTCGTGTTGATTGGTGCCGTGAAAGGCATGAAAATTTAACGGAGGTGACTCAAATTCTTTGTTTGACATAATTACGGGATACAAAAGCTAGATTTACTGTTATAATCCCGAAACTAAAAGACAGTCAGCCCAGTGGGTGTTCCCTTCCGAACAGTTGCCAACTAAAGTGAAGAGAGGTCGAAGCGTAGGAAAAAAAATGGTGGCCTCGTTCCTTGGAAGGACAGGTCATTACGCGACCATTGTTTTAGAGGATCGAAAAACAGTTACTGTAGAGTTGTACAGTAACAATTATTTGCCACGTGTTTTGGAAAAAGTGCATGAGAAACGACCTCGCAGTAGGATCCTCCTTCACCACGACAATGCTTCGTCGCACACCGCCAGGTAAACGATCGATTATTTGGCGACCTCAGACGTAGAATTACTGGGTCATCCGCCTTATAGCCCCGACCAATTTTTATTTATTCCGAAAAATAAAAGAAAAACTTCAAGGAAAACGTTTTATGGACGCCGAAGAAGCTGTGGCTACGTTTCAGAAGGCCGTCGAAGAGATCCCTAAGGACGAGTGGGCAAAGTGCTTTTCTCAGTAGTTCTATCGGATGCAGCGATGTATTAACGTGAATAGACACTATTTTGAAAAGATAAAGTCAAGGTAAAAACTTGATAATTTAATCAGTTTTTGATTTTCTAAGGACTTTCAGTTTGACCCTCGTAAATGCTTTTGTACGTTTAATTTTTATATAGATATCAGATTTTAACGAAAATGTATACGGGTAAACTTATTTCTTGAATGGATATGGGGTCCCAGTGCAATATATCTTATCAGGTCGACCTCCACACAGTTTCTCTTGAAAACCATCGTGGCTAATTCTTGTGAAATTCGATATGATAAACTAACTGACCTACTTTTATCCTTACCTATCATCTCTTATTGGTGTCCCGCGCCAACTTATACCAATAGCGCAGACATTCCATTTTCACCCATACAAACAACACTATTTGTAAGTAATGCGGACTACTAGTCCCATCGCTAGTAATATACTCTGCCAGGTCGACCTTCACATGGTCCCCGATGGAAACCATCGTGCTGAATTCCAGGTGTTTTCATCACGATGGGCTAATTGACCTGCATATCATCCCTCACTGGTGCCCCGCCATCGTATGCCGATAGCGCATGCAACTCCTACCATTTCATTATTACTCATTAATAATACATTAAAATATATTAAGTACGTGTAAGTTGTTTATTTAATAGGCAATAATTACTGAATAGTTTGTACATAACAATTTTAGATAAGAATATTTTCTTGGTTCATACTTTTAGGGCGTGATTATTTTAATAAGGTTTTAATTTTCAGACTTATTCTTTATTTAAATGACAGGCGGCAGTTTTATTTAGAAGCTCAGGGATAGGATTTGTAACTGAAACTTCAATGCTACTTATGTCCATAATCGCTGTCAATTCCAATTTCTTACAAACGAAAATTCTTCCTAACTAGGCTTGAACACAGTGGACAACGCGATGGATGTTTTTGTGGTCAATAAAGCGTTATCGTTCTTTGACCCTAAGATAAATAGATACCTATACTATATGACAAGCTTTGCAAGCAGTTGTGAATTCTATCGCCTCGAGGGAACTTCATTTCGGATTGGATTCGTGATAGGGATCATTTCCAATCGATATTCATAAAAGCTATCTACTTACAAATTTTTTTTCCTTGAAAGAATGGTATAAAAATGTTGGAATGATTGTTAATTAAATGCTAATACAATACATTTTTTTTTATACCAAAAAGGTGACAATCAAGCATACAGCCCGTCTTATGATAAACAGTTATTGTAGCCAATGGATGCCTGCAACACTAGGGGTGTCACGTGTGCGTTGCCGACCTTACATATTACGTATGTGCATACATAATATATATATAGGAACAGAAAAACTATTAATTTTTGTTATAGATAGATTTTAGTTAGATACATGGATTTATTAAGCAATTGAGCACTGCATGTTTTTATAATAAAAAATTAGCATTTTTTAAATTTTATTCATAAATTATTTTTATTCACCTTTCTGCAATTATCAGAGTTTACATGGCTAAAAGAACTTTAATAAAAATTAGGTCTTTTAAGTAGCTTTTGAGTTTATCCATTACAAACAAACAAATACATTTTCCCTCTTTGTATATAATGTGTTGCAAATATGAAGCGATCTATGAACTAATGCAATTATGAATAACCGAAAGTGTTTTTAGCTCTCTGTCTTGGATTTTTTTAATCTGGGAAAACGGAATGGTAACCCGTGTGCGCTATCGATATTTTTTTTTTATGGATGATAATGAAATGGTAACTTCACCGGCGCTATCTATCTGACGGGGCACTAGTGAGGGATTATAGATGCTGATGAAGCAGTTGATCAGTTGGTCCATCGTGACGAATTCAAATATAAATCAATCACGATAGTTTCCAGGGGAAACCGCGTGGAGGTCGACCTAATGGGATATCTCCATTACTAAAATACCCTTCCCCCCGCTCTATCGGTATATGCTGGCGGGGCGCCAGTGATAGATGATCCATCTCCTCCCAGAGGTCCAGGACAGTCCCCAAATAAAAATTTTTATTCAGTCTCTTTCTAGTATCAAAAAGCCGGTCAAATGCGAGTCGGACTCGCGCAACGAGAGTTTCGTACAAAGTCTCAAGTTAATTTTTTTTTGTGTAATATCTACAAATTTACGTTATTCGGATTTTTTTCTTTACTTGTGCTACATGACATTGCTTCTTGCAAAATTTCATGATTCTAGTTCAATGGGAAGTACCCTATAGGTTTTGATTCCTTTTGCGAATGTCGAAATATGCAATACAAATGGAACAAACGGCCGTATCTTTTGATTGCGTCGATTTAGAAGTTTGATTTTTCACTGCTTTAAAAGATTGTAGACCTGAGTATATGATATTAATTTCAACTTGATACCTTCACGCGTTCCTAAGAAAAAGGGTATTGACAGACGGATGGACGGACAACGAAGTGATCACTGAGGGTTCTGTTTTTTTCTTTTGGAGGTATGAACCCCAAAAAATAAATAAAAAATAAGTAAATAGTATATTATTTCCTTCATAAGATTACAATAGAGAACTTATTATAAATACAAACAATTACAAGAAAATATTACACTAAGAAAATAATGGGCGGCCTTATCGCTAAGAGCGGTCTCTTCCAGACAACCTTTTATATAAACCTTTTTTTATCTAAGCATATTTAAATTCAAAATAATTTGAGTAGGTAGATATTACCAGCACGGGCGTTTCTCTCAATAACAATCTTGCATTTTTCCAATATTTGTCCGAAGTGATACCACAAAAGAGATAAAATACAAGGCCTTTAACGCTTTATCTCGTATTTACTAAAAGAAATAATACTAAACCTATTTACGTATTGTTTCTAAACAGAAGTATAATACTTTTTCTATGAAAGAAGTTAAAAGATGTAATAAGAAATAGATAAAAGTACTACTTAACAAAAATACCGTTTTCGAATCGAACCTAAGCAAAGAACCAAAGAACCTTTCTTAGTAAGCGAGCACTAGTCACCACGGGTCATTTCAAATAACCGAAATCTTCCTACTTACATAATGTGCTGTAACAATAATCAATTCCGTTAATTTTCGTTATGCATATAATTATTTTCGTTGTTTCAAATTTTGGCTAATAACATATAACTTACAACTATTTATTTACATCAATTTACATGCTTTTCTCATTTTAAGGCTTTTTTGTATGTGATATTTTTTATATCATTAACATATTTATTTGTTACTACAGTGACATTGCACATTATCATACTTAGGCGTATTACCCTATGATATCTTATCTCAAATGAAGCAAAACTTTTATAACGTATAATACACATATTAGTAATTGGAATAATCTCAGACTAATACAGACTTGGAGTACAAATGTTTGTATTGTGCGGGAATCGAACCCGCAACGTAGGTGAGTCAGTGGGTTAAACCGCTGTACCACAAGGATCACTCATGTTATAGTATGTTTGAATTTTCATCAACTACCCATGTACTATTACTGATCACTGAGATGTACTACTACTAGGCCTCCAAGGCACAGTTTTGAATTTACGAATGTGTTGTCTTCTATTTGTTTTAATCATAGACTTAGTATAACGTACTGTTTTAATTGTTATCTGCAGATTGGCAGCTACAAACGGACAAAGCAGTCGAGATATTATCATTACTATTTACCTGTCAACCTATATCTACTCATATGGGATGAGAACAACAGAACGAGGTCGTTGCGGGTAGGCGGTCGTGAGGGTCACACAGAGGTGACAAGCGAGCGGCGGCAATGTGCGTGAAAGATATGGGGAGGCGTCAGGCGCTGATGTCAGTGGAAGCGGCGAGTGGCGGCTCTCCCGACGGCGGCGGGCGCACGCACGGAATGCAGCGGGTGGTGCGCGGGGCGCGGGCGGCGGCCGCTGCTGCCGCGGCGACGCTCGCTGCTGCTCGCCAGTCCGCCAGTCAGCCGCGCGCCTTCGACACGAGTGTTGTTCGAACCGCGAGTGACACCACCTCCGCTGCGCACAGGTATGTATTTCGCTGCACGTGACTACCCCATCTTTAGCGTTAGCCTAACTCGCCAGAGAACTCTGCGGAATACCGCACACCGACTATTTCTGAGCGATCCTGTCGCCCGGTGACCAGAAATAGACGGTGGCCATCTACGACAACATCGTCTTCAGCGAACTCGGCGACCTCGGGCGGCGTTGTCGTGGGCGCGATGACCCGTCGTATGTTTGCCAAATGAGAATCCCTAAATACTTACCGGTCATCGCTTCTGCGGCATTATCAGTGTTACATATTTATTATTTGCCGGCGCGGTGCGGTGAGGTCAGCGAGTGCGCGCTGCGATGTGCGCCTTATCGCGTGGGCCGTAGGGTCGTAGCGGGAGTACTGCGGTGCGGTGGCGACGCGGGCGCGCCCGACCTCGAGCTCTGCTCTGTCTTTGCTCTGCTCTTGCGTCGTTCTTATGAGTTATAGATATGTACCTCTATGTAGATACCTATTCACTCACATGAAATAACCAAACTTAAATTGATAGAGAGAGTCGCAAATCAGAGTTGCAATTAAAAATCGCTTATCGTATTGACACTGCATTCTATTCTGTTGCCGTGCTTTAAATTTAGCAGAATATACTAATGTAAGTCTGTATTTGTCTACCATGAAATCAAATCGCGACGTGACGCACGTACCTACCTACCTAATGCACGATAACATTGTATGGACAAGCGGTAAATATCTGCTGCTGTCCTACTCACTGTAGCTTCTACCACTGTTTGTGGTAAATTGCTACTTAGGTATATATTAGTTTTATATATAACTATAGAAGCGTCTGAATACGGGTTCGGTAAAGTACAGATAGTAGGTACAATACGATCCTCCGAGATTCATTAGCACATGAACATCTACGCGATGAAGACAACGCTTTAATATCATCAATGTAAACACAATCTTCACTTCGGTATTTATATACTACATGGGACTGTATGTGCCTATAGAAAATTATTATATTTGATAAGGGTTCAATGTCAATAACTAATATTTTTCACATTGGACTAAGTAACAACCGAACTGGCTAGATCCGTCGATATGACGTCACGACTTGATAATCTTAATCTAAGTGGGTGTTTCGAGGTCATTATTGTTGCGGCTGCTGTGTATCAAACATGGTTGCTTTAACGCTCTTGAATAATCACTGGTCTGTTGTTCCCTATAATGACGTAGACTAACCGTCTACGCATTTAACTGTTAGCACAATGATTAGACGCATTAAATGCTTTATTTCCGTAAAACATTTTCGTCGACATGAAATATCTGTGAGTGTACACGAGCCCGGTGACAAGGGATCCGGTACTCGTCCGGTGGTGTCTTCGGCAGCAGTCGCTGTGCGTGTCAACAACGTTTACACCCGAACCTCGCCTCTGCGTCGTTCACAACACGCCTCAATATTCCGTGTCTACACGTTGCCAGTTATTACACCCTAGACGCACCGCTACAAATGTTCCCGGCCTCGTACCATTTTTGGTTCAAGCCATTTTGGCACCTACGGCAGATTGAATAAGAATCAACCGGCTTGCGTGCTAGTGGCGTAAACAGTGTTTTGTAGTCACAGCAGGGTCGAGATCCCCGACGCACAAGAGAGTGAAAGTCGGGGGGCGGGTGAGTGACGGGGGTGGCAGCTGACGGCGCACCCCGCAGGAGTGGTCGACCCGGGGCGTCCAACTAGGATTTGCTAAATCTGCTACTTTTACAATGAGGCTGTTGAAAAAGCAAATTACAGGTACACTTTGGACGTCTGTTACAGTAATTAAAGTTCATCTACAAATGTATAAAATATCATCAATATCGAGATATATTTTTTTTAATATTGCATTAGATTTTCATTGAATAATTTTGCACCGTATTTATTTCCTAGAGTCTTATTAAAATTACTGTAGGCATATAAAAAGTAAGTAAAGCAGGCGGGTTCAAGAACCTAATTAGTGCAATTCTCGTACGGCACAGATCCGCTGTTTCATGTCAGTGCACAGACAGACAAGCTCATGGTAGTGCCAATAACAAGTTTCATACGCCCCCGATACCTTCGAAAGACATTAGCTGTAGAGATTGTAACTTACTCGTAGCTGGGGCTCTATTCACTGTTTCTATACTTCTATATCGAAAATTTAAAACACTAGAAGATACCTACTTTCGTAAATTGCTTACAAGCGAACAAGAGTATATAAGTATCTAGAAGTTATATCAAGAGTAATTATTTTGTAGTTTCGCAACATAGTTATTTCGTTACAATCGCAATATTTTGCTCCGCAAGAAAAGCTATTTCAAACGTAAATACACCGATGAACAATGAGAAGTAAAACACTTGAAATTAAAATGGAGCAAAACTTACTCCTTAACAACAGTAAGTAAACAGTAGCTTCAGTCGTTACAAAAAGATGAGACTCACATGGGAGTAAACGCTATCGATTGCCAAAAGATTTGCGGAAAATGGCTAGGAACTATAGACGTAATCGCATCACATAGTCACAAAAAGAAAACGGAAGAATTGAAATTTTTTTCTTCTGGAAAGGGCTTAATAAAGAAATTAAGCAAAGAGGTTCTCCCAGCCTAGTCCACAAAAGTCTTGTCGTGAAGATAGATAGATACAAAATATTTTTTTTTACCGATATTTTTGTTATTTTTGGCAGTCATTGACTAGATAGTCTTTATAGGTCACAGATAGTACACAAGTATACGGCCCACCAGGTAGGTTATCGCAACTTGTACGCTAGCAAAATAAAGAAGGGTGTTATGAACGAGTTCCCGAACCGAACCCTTCCCCTTACATAGCAACCTTTTTACCGCAAGAACGCGACTTTGCAGGTAGCGCTATTTGTTACTCTTGTTGTTATGATCTATGCTAAGGGGTACCTCACTTGTAAGATGATAATATAGAATCATAGAGAGGCTCTACGATGCTTACGATTTTATCATAATTATATGTTAAACACCTTATTGGTTCAACCGATCGTCATGAAATTTGGTACATATATAATATATGGGATAGAGAAGGATGCAGGTTACCTTTTATCCATGTCAATCAAACAAAGTCGTGGCTACAAACTAGTGCAGAAATAAAAAAATATTTAATACAATATCAAAGAAGTGAATCACTTCTACCGTCCGTAGATTGTATAAATTATATCATTAATTTCGTGAGATGGAAAGCAAAAGAAACGACTTCGTATAAAGTATATGGCTGCTACGTAGGTAGATACCACATGCTACATCCCAAGGGTATATCCGGTGGGTGTTGCTATGTATACTTACATTTTGTGCGGTTCATAACCGTGGAGAGGGGTCTGTTTTCCTGGCAAAGTGAAACCGAGCCACGAACGAGAACGCTTACGATCACAACTCAGCTAAATTGTCTCTCTAAGTGAGTTAACGCCACATCATGATTATGGCAAAGCAATAAACTCTGACAAATAATATACCGTACTGACAATGCTGTGACTAATACTGAAGTTTGTAATGAAATAAGTGGATGTGACAGTGTAATAAAAACCATACTTTTAAATAAAATTAAACAAATATACTCGCATCAAGACCTTATATCTCTAATGGAGTAGTCAGCGGCATTTGTCGACTATTGACATTATAGTGATTATAACATTCGACATGTCCACATTTCGTATATTGGATTGCGATGTGGCAGAAAACAAACGTACCACCGTCTTTCAGATTAATTTAATTTGTTATCTATGTTTTTCATCACCGGAGTGTTAGTTAGAAATTTAACATTGAAATCCTTTTGTTACTCACAAAGACAATTCACATAAATGGTCTTAAATTTTAGAAGTAAAATAAATTATCATCGTGCGTTTTCCACTGTCATCGTGTCGAATAAAGCAATTTAAAACGAATATAGCGACATCCTATTTATAAAAATACATCAAACTGTTTAAGCTACATATACGTAGCGTTAAAGATCTGGACACTACAGCATCTGGAAACAGACAAACATTGCATACTCTAGAAAAATATTACCTTTCATTTGGTAAACAGGTAAAAAACCTATTTTGATAAAGATTACATTCATTGAGTTTAGACAGTAGTCGACTGATTTCACTCATCTTGGCCCTTTGTCAGTTGGACTAGCCATTATGAAAGCGGACCACCTCCCCCCTCTACCACATAGGTGGTCTGCCGCGTCGCCTTTTTAGGTTTGTTTGTAACCAAGTTGAAGAGCATTATCCACCTCTCACTTATGCGATCAAGTGGTTTACCCAACTTCACTTATTCCATTCTTTTGGGATACACTTATTTATACTATTACATATAAGGTACCCATGTATATATAAAAATTCGATTTCTCTCAAAATCATTAGTTAAAAATTTATAAGACATTTGTAACTATATTAATTTACTGTAATGTTTCAGTATAACTGATTACTGTCATTAGGTATGTACTTAAAAATCATGTCTGTTAATGAAGCACATAATTATAATAATATTCATCTCTTATGTCGATGTTGTCAAAGATGTGTTGAGCAACTATGTAATTGTCAATGAACGACATGCAACACGATAACGATAGCATATGTATTGATAAGTGCGTCATCTTACGGTTTTCTTTACAGTGAGAATTTGATCCTCATTGCATATATGCAAGGTATAAAAAGCTGAGAAATTATAATTATCGTTCTGTATTTTTACACATTATAGTTATAGTGCTAAGTTCACGCTGTATTTATAATTTAAGATTGTGTTCCAAAAGAAGCATCAGACATCATGGTAAAATCGTGGTAGATTTAAAAACTAATCTACAGCATCGATTTTGCTAATATTTGTATGGGCCCAATCTGAAAATATATCTATTCAGATAAAAAGCAATTTTCAAATGTATTTCTAACTGACGGAGTTATGAGATAACAAATATAAAATATTTAAGATTGTGTCCCACAAAAAAAGGATTTCAATTATGACAAAACCAGTTATTTTGACGTGAAAACTACACTACTGAACCGATTTTGATAAAATTTCTA